TTCTCACTCGACACACGTATTGCCTATGATCGCGAAATTTCTACTGCATAATATTATGTTTAAGCATGAATACATATGAGTGAGAGAGACGCGCGCACGAATACACATTCGGAATAATGGCAGCGACTTTGCTGTTGCTCATCTGTTTGCGTTTGTTCTAACTGCGTGCGCACGTCGCAGAGAATAAATGATGATGTGAGAGTTTCGCGTGTCTGTATTTAAACACGAATGTCACAATGACTAAATGACCGAGAGCATGGCAGCTATATGTGCAAATTTATATGCATCACGCTCTCTCTACAACGATTATATGTTATAAACATTATGTGGTTGGCAAAACTTCTCTCATTTTTTCAACATTTTATTTAAACGTCAAAAGTGCACATAGAACTGTTGAGGACTATACAAATCAGAATTACTTTATTAGTCACATACAACTTGATGTTTATGAACATCAAATTAGATGTACAGCGTATTTCAAAATTTACGTATAATATAAGTAATATATTTTACTTGTATTGCAGTTAGTATGTATTAGTTTGAAGTGTATTTAAATGTGTATTAGTCAGTGCAAGTGTAGATAAGTCTGCGATAGCGATTTTAACACACCATCTACATTTGATGTTTAGGAACATCATTGACGTTGATGTCTGAAAACTAAACTCGGATTCTGGAATCAAATTCTTTAAATCCTAAGATTATATACATTCATCTCTGAAATTAAGATTTAAAAATGTCAAAGCGACATCACTATTAATTTAAAAAAGTAATGAATATCAAATTTTTTTCGTATATTTACAAGTTAAAAAATCCTGCCAGAGCAATTGTGTCGAATTTGGTTGAAAATTTCGGTGGAAAATAATTCTTCACACTTTTTTCATCTCTGAAATCACGAATTTAAATTGTCAAAATGACATTTCTAAAATTATTTAAAAAATAAATATTAAAATGTTTTATTAACATCACATTGGTTTTTTAGTTTATACAGATGCTACAAATAATGTAAAATGTCAAAACACACACACTTGTACGTAGCTGTCAAAATAAGCTACAAGAAACACATTTTTATTGCAGCTCTGCTGTTGCTACAATAATTTGCGGAAAAACCGCCTCCACTTTTTCTGTGAGTATTCCATGTCATAAATTCATTTTTGGTACCAAATGGAGACAATAAAGAAAAAATACAGAAAAATGACAAAAATTATAATATTTTCGCCACTTTCTAGAATAAAAAGGCCAAAACTCTTCCGCATCTGAACTTTTCATGTATTTTACTCAATTTGTGACATTGCAGCATCAATAACATCTGATCTTTAGTCAAAGTGCAGTATAGTTTACTATCCGAGTGGATCACATTGTCATATCAATGAACGGAATGGGATCCTCTAGGAGATTCCGACTTATACGAATGTTCCATATGCGAAAGAATTTGTCATATATTTTGCAAATGGAAACGAATGGTCGCGAATGTTTCATACAAATTTTGCGAATGGTGTCGGATGTTTCATACAAATTTGCGGACGGTGTAGAATGTTTCATACACATTTTGCTGATGGCGCATATGAAAAGTCATATTTTTACATTCAAAAAGTCAAAGTGACAGATTAGGTGACAGAGATTCAAGCCGAATTGATATTTTTTTGGTAATATTGAGTGAAATTTTTCTAAAATGGTAAATAAATCTTTGCCACTCGTAATATAATCACTGTAAACGGTGCCTTGTGAAAGGTTTTTATTTTCATTGACGTAACTTTCAATTTCTTTTATATTTATATTATCTGAATTTATTTCTAAAATCTCACTTTTCGAATCGCATACGGCTTCTAAAATAATATTCAACAAATAATCTTGTATTTTTTTTTTCAACAGTTTTTCAAATTCAGTTGAGAACAATGACACTGTGTTTGAAACTGCCACGACAAACTGAACACAGCAATGTGTATGTACAAATGTCACACGACAGTTTGTCGCATCTCGCAAGACGTATGCGGCATTCGCGAATGGTTGCGAATGAAATGTACGAATTTTCATAGATTTTGATGCGGATAGATATATACTTTACTTCGTATATTTCATGTATGAATAGGAAAATGTTCATACATTCCGTATAAAATGGCATTTGCATATACTAAAATGCCCCTAGGGGATCCTGTACCTCTAAAACTTGAAAGCTCTTGCAGCATTCGCCTTACTGGTTATGATTGTGTCACTTAAATCCCATTATCATCCTGAAAGTGTATATTCCTTATAAACAGTACGTATACAGACGTTTTGATTGAAAAGAATTGAAAATTGTGATTAAAATGCAAAAAAATTGAATTTTCCACAAAAAAATTGGAAAATTCATTATAAAGACTTTTTTAACTCCACAAAATGTCTTCAAAATTATTGTGCTACCGAATTGTAAGAATTATACAGGCATATCGGATATTTCACGGCAATATGGATGTTTAAAATTCGTAAATACATACCTTTTTTGTATATATACGTATATTTCGATGAGGTCACCACTTGGTACCGAAAATGAATTTCTGATATGAATTACTGCTGTGTTAGAAAGCTTAAATATTGCACACATCATTTTCAGACAATTGTTGATCATTCCGGATCACAGAACCTACAATTTACGTTCAGAAATGAATCATTTGAAAATTGGAATTTTTGAGATTTTTCGGATGAATTCGATGAATTGTCACTTCTTGGTGAAGGTACCATTTTTTAACTTTGCATGGATTTTTTTCTTTTGCAATGTGTTATTTGGGTTCTGTTCTGATGATTTAAGCATAAAAATAAACAATACTGAAAGTATAGTGTATTTTTATGCCTTACAAAAAAATTCAAAAAAATTTAAAAAAATCCAAATTTTTACCATTTTTGATATTTCGCCGTTGATCCGTGACTTCTCAGTTTATATTTTTTTTTGCAAAAAAATGACCGATTCGTGATCAGAGGATCCCATAGCCAAGGTTATTACCCTCGCCGTATTTGTTTTTCAATTTTTTCATATTTCTGCTACACCCTATCCATCACCCTTCTAAAAAAAATTCCGTCATCATCAATGCTTAATATTAAAATATTTGACTTTGAAGAAACTTTTCGTGTTGAAAATAAGTGCTTCAGTAAACCTGCCATAGACTAGTGGTTAGCGTGCCAGTTTTGTGAGTGTGAGGACACGAGTTCGATTCTCGGTCAAATTTGGTCCATTATTTTTTCTCCGTGATTCCCTCAGGAATCGTCAGTGGTTTAATGACGAATAAATTTGTCCGGGTTTCGGTCTAGTGAAGTGCATCGGTCTTCTTAAAACCGTCGGTTGCATGTGTGAGCACAACGAAGAAATGGGCTCAGCAGTGTCAAATGGAGTGCTTTCACGTTTGGTGTCTTGGATATGCCAAATATCCAATACGTCAACCGTAAAACGGTAGTGCTGAACTATTGGTGAATATTCCGTTAAATCAGTGGTGGTAGCATTCCTACATTGAATAGTGGAATCCAGCGCCATCTGGAGTACAGATTTACATTTTGCAGTAACACATTACAATTGTAACGAAGCATTACTGTAATGCTATTACAATTGTAAC